AATGTCAAGCAATTTATTTACAAAAATACCACCGTCTTTTGTTCCATGGCATTTTTCTTTTTAACAGCCAATGTTCCCTGATGTTATATGCCTTTTTTTGTAGCGGTGGCAAACTCAAAAAACCTTTCAACCCCATCCTCATATTCTTTTCCAATTCTCCTAACTTTCATCTAACTATGATCTATTGTTTTTCATAGTCAAGGAACATAGTTGTGAAGCTTAACTCTAGCTACTTAAGTCAAATATTCAAATAAATCAAATAATAAGTATTAGTCGATAAATTAACTTGACTAATACCTAATTTTCAAATACAACGAATGCCTTTTTTATTTTATAAAAATTTTGGTAGAAGGAATACGAAATAATTTACACGATTTTCAAATCAACCGACCAACCAATCAAAAATATAAATCAACCAACCAACAATATAGTGAATAAGATAAAAAGGCAAATTTCAGCAATCATAACTGACAAAACAAAAACAACAATCTCAAATCAACATATAAAGTTCACTAAGACTAACTTTTGAATCTAAAACAAGACTAATCAAAGTTCCTAACCAAAAAAAGATTTGGCCAAACATTCAACAGATTATTCATAACAAAAATTTGTCAAAAAATTTAGAATGAATATATGCAAATTATGAAAAAATTACAAAATTGAAAAATAATCAACTATAAAAGTTTTCACAAGCATCTCATGATGTGTATAGCAAGCAATTAACTATAACAAATAACTAGCAAACAAACATAATCCCAATGAACCCCGAATTCGCACACAAAACTCTCTAACAATCAAACAACTAAATACAATCACTCTAACACTATAATAAAAATACCTATTTGATTAATCATTGTTTTCAATAACCAAACATGCCAAAAGAATGGAAAAAGAAGCATCAGAAAGAAGAGGAAGAAGAGAGAAGAGAGAGCTTACCATGTAATGACGAATAGACAACATCAAAACAACGCAAAACAATGACAATGATGATGTCGAGAGTGATGAAAGATAGTTGTTTGGTCGAAAATTTGGTGGAAACGTCAAATTTTTTTGGTGGAGCAACTTTCTAGTGGGATTAAGGTTGGCGACCACGATGACAGAACAATGGGGTAAAAGTGAAAAGTGAATACATGAGCTACATTAAAATATTTTTGGAAAAAATTCATGACAGTTTTAGCAATAATTATTGTGAAAAATATTTTCCACGATGTTTATTTTCTTAATTGCCATAAATCGTATAAACCATGGCGTTTTTCCACATGTACGCTGTAAAAAGTTGAAGGTAACGTTGCTTTTTTACCTGTAATGCTTGAACATTTTACAAACGTTTTTTATATAACCACCATAAGAAGCAAAAATTACTCTACATTAATTACAAAAATGTCACCGCCTTTTCTTTTTTTACGTTTGTTCTTAAAACCGCTATTAATAAGCGTCGTTAAAAGCTTATTTTCTAGTAGTTCATATTCCATTGGCTTCTAAATTCTACTTTTATCTTCTAAACCTTGAATAATGTATTTCATCATCTCTCTCAAATAAATTTCATCCTAATATAATTTCAATATTGAAAAAACCTCTTCTTAATACATAATTATAAAACTATTTTTTTAAAATGATAACCATGGTAGGAAAAGAATTGAGTTAGAGTGTTAAAATGCTACCATGGTTATAAAGAGTTTGACTTATTTCGAAAACATCCCAAATGGCTCAGGATACATAAAACACCCATGGGTTTAACAACGTAGAACAAAGCCTCAAGGCACAGTAACTGCCCACAAGCCCAACATAATATTCATCCCACAAAAACTTAAAGCACAAGAAACATAGGGTGCTCAACCCAGCTCACAAGTCATACACATAAGAATATCACATATAGCAGAGTCTTATGGCCTTTAGCCATTTTAACAGCATTCTATCAAATACAGTCATCCAAACAAAAGAAAATATATGTCAACACAGTTGTGGGCTCTAAGATGGCAATATACATAACATTACATGCCTAAACCAAAAGAGGACTACTAGGCTATGCCCGCCTATGCCTCTGGTTGTTTCCCTTCACGTCGAGCCAAACTAGATGGCTCTCCTAAAAAGTATTGATGAATAGCAGGGTGAGACGTAAAGTCCCAGTAACCAAGTATTAATTTATGACATATACAAGTAGGATGGCAAGTTGGTGAAGTAGTGCTTAAATATAGTTTAAGAAATAAATGGTACTTTAATAGATACAATCACATAAAAAGAGTATATCTCTCCATCCACAACACATTTCATATAAAAGTACATATATGCAACAACACAATGAAATATGTCCTCCCATCACCTTACTCCTCCTTATGACTCCTTGACAAGGACCCGGGCTTTCTGTGCTGAGTAACCCGGCCAAAGGTCGCCCCACTCACATCAAGCAACGGGCCCTCTCCTGTACCTACACCGCCCAAGAATGGACTATGGTGCAAGAGGTGTCTACCCAAGAGTTCATTCTCAGTTCCGGGCCAAGGAAAAGGAAAAACTACAAGGATCTAACAAAAAGGCCAAACACTGGGATCAATAGTGTAGGCATGCCGCGCGGGCTTCAAGAACAATTATTCTCCACATAACAAAATCCCAACCTCCACATATGACCCCATGCATAGTCACAATATAAATCAAAATATCATAATCTTCAAAGTAAGATGATATAATTTCAAACAAAGTACGACACATTTTCATCATTTTTTTTAATAACAAAATATTAGTATATTAAATTCAGCACCACAAGAAAACAAAATTTACAATAAAACCCAACTCAAGCATACTTAAATCAACATACTTCCCACTTCACCAAAATTTGTCATATAAGAAAATATACACTTTATTCACAGGCATAATTTCACAAATTAACTTGAGAAAACATAATAAACACCTTACAATACAAAGCATGTATATAAAATAAATTAACCCCAGTTACCTCTACTCCAAGCTTAATCTCACAGCTTGAGAAATAAGAGCACAAATTATAAACTCCGAAGTACAAGATAATCTACAAATAATATAGATACAATTTAATTTATATACAAATAATTAACTTAAATTACATAGAATTTATTATTAATAATATCTATACATATATTTACTATCCAAAAATTCTTACTTCAAATAACAATTTTTCTCTACCCAAATAACTCATTTAAATTATAAATATTTATAAAATATTGTTTTTATCTAATATTGTAAGAATCTCAATTTATAACTTAAGTTTCTAGTTTCAAAATTTTTCTAATAATATAGTCTTAACCTATTTTACATTTTAAACCGATTAAAATATCAATAATATATTAAGTAACCCAAGTAAGTTATTTAACTTAAATTTAATCGGTAAAAACATTCTATATATCTTGAATGATACATTTTCCAACCAAAATCTTAGTTTAAAATTCTCAAAACAATCAATAAACAACTATAAACCGATTAAAATTTCAATAATATATCAAACAACCCAAATAAATTATTTAACTTAGTTTTAAACGGTATAAATATGATATATATCATAAGTGACAGATTTTTCAACAAAATAAATTTGATTTTAAATACCATAGGTAATAAATGGACAAATCTAAACCGATTAAAATTTCTTAATAATAAATCTTTAAATTCCTACGGTCAAATATTTTCGAAACTCAATACTTACTCTATACCCAAATCACAAAATTTTCTCTAAACATTATAATGATACTACTAATATAAAGCTCTAAATATATAGGAAATATTCATAGAGAAAAATTTAATAGAAAGAAGTGTTTAATGTACCTATATGATCCCCAAATGCTAGCACGTCCTTGCAGAAATCTTCACTCAATCTCTTGTTCTTTGTTTTTCTTCCTGCGTCTCTCACCTCTCTTTCTCTACTCTACACAAAACTCACACTCTTTTATTTATCCTTTAACATGCCAACCATCCTTCCTTAATTTTTCTTCCTTCATTTATTATTCCTCCCCATTTTTCCTCCTCCCTCTTTAATAACCCGCGTCAAATTCTTCTTCGCCTTCAATTCACCCTGCTTTTCCACCGACTTAGGTGGAAAAGTTGGGGTGTGTTATTTTTTTTTTAATATTAATAAAATATTATTATTTAATACTAATAAAATATTATTTTACATTATTTAATTATTTTTTTGAATAATAATTTAAATTTTTTTTTATAATAATATTTAGGATGTTACAAATATGATGAATAAAAAATGAGATGTTACATTTTCTGCACTCATTATTTGTGAATAGACTAAGTGCATCCAATACCCTAAACTAATTTTTTAAATGCATTTAGTATCTAAAAGTATGTTGTAGTTTACCTATCATCTTGAAATATTTCTTTTAAAGATATGTCCAGCATTCTAAAGTACTTTTTCATTTGCATTTGATATCCTAAAATAAATAATGAAAGGATGAGATTGCACCAAATTTAAAAGATCATGGGCTAAACCGCACTACCAAAAAATTAGGATGCTGGATATACCTAAGAAATAAGATTGAGATGCTAGTTGCTACTTTGCTCTTTTTTTTTTCTGCCAACCCTACTTTAAGTTTTTATTTTTATGTTGGTAACAAATACTATTTATTCTATCATTTTTTTTTAAATTTTAAATTTTGTATTTTGTGACATCTTCTCCATCCATAGTGGTCCTAGCTAATTAATAATTTGTGAGGATAAAAAGTAAAGACTAATGCCTATAATTGAAAAAATTAGAAGGAATAAAATAATTAAATAATCTGATTAAAAATCAGTTAAAACTATAAGAACCGACAAATTATTATTTTTATTTATAAACAATGAATAATTTATTTTTTCCAAATGATTTTGTTTTTACAAAATTTCGTATTCCGTGTATTGAAGTTATTAACATGATATCAATCACCATCACTTGAATATGACCAGAAAGACGCCATCAAACAAAGCAACAAACATTTCATAGGAAAATTGAAAAGGAAAAAAAAAACTATATAGGCGTCTTAAAAGGTCTTGCAATTTCTTCTCTCTTCTCATTCCTCCCCAAGCTGTAAACAATTCCCAGCATCAAATCCGCAAGATATATGAATTGAACACGACGAGGAGGAAGGTAGGATCAGATCAACATCAAGAACTCGCTATAGTATGGGTGAAGAATCGAGGAAGTGGATCCTACTCATAGCGTCGATATGGGTTCAAGCATTCACAGGAACTAACTTCGACTTCTCGTCCTACTCGTCGGATCTGAAATCGGTGCTTGACATAACTCAGCTTCAGCTCAATTATCTGGCGGTGGCTTCCGACATGGGCAAGCTATTTGGATGGTGCTCTGGTCTGTGTTTGCTGTATCTTCCTCTGTGGATCATCACGCTCATATCTGCGTTTCTCGGCGTTGTTGGTAACGGCCTTCAGTGGCTCGTCATTCAGAAAATCATCTCTTTGCCTTATGTTCTGGTCAGTAACTTCCAGTTCCAACTCGCCTTTCATCTTTGCTCTCTGTTAAAAATGCTGAATTCTCTTCTTAGGTCCATGAATCGTTGTTATTTCAGTTTCGGCGAAATTCTACTCACCCACCCTGAACTTTATATTATCTACAGTTAACTTGTTAAAGTTCAAAACATTAGAATGAATTCTCAGAGACTGTTAGATTTAGGAAGATATGACTTTTTTATTAGTAGTGTTATTCACTATTTATCTGCCCATGTAATAAAATTTAGAGGCTTATATACGCACACGTATAACTCAACTTGAGCAGATATATGCACACACCCAAAAATATAATTTAATGACGTACAGAATTGATGGTTGAAATTTTGGTTGGGTTCCTTATTAGGTACTAAAAGTTAAGATTTCATTGGGCCATCAAAAAATAAATTTACCTATTATAATATTAAAATAGGACACTAGACACTGTAATAAAATGTTAGGTGCAAAAACATAGGGGCAAAAATATAATCTCTGTTAATTCTTTCAAACGGCCTTACCTTTTATTTTTTTTAGGTCCCCCGTTGTTTAAGTCAGCTTTTTGCTCTCTTCTATCCCTGTCAATCTCTCTCCCTCGCATCCTTCTTCGATCTTTCTTCTCTCTCTCTCCCCTCCCCTCTTATCCTTCCACTCTCTCTCCTAGTTACCCAATATGCAAGAGGTGATTCATATGTGAGAAGTGGAGCGTAATAGGTTGCGGTGATACCATTTTTGAATTCCTCAAACTAGGAGGAGGTGGAAGAATAGTGGTGGTGGGTGAAGTTCTAGTCCATTTCTCAACCAATCACGCACATTTCGTGTGAGTGCATATAGGGTGTCGCCGTGGAATGAGAAACGGGAGAAAGAGACGGTGCATATTAGGTAAGTAGGAGAGAGAGAGAAAGAATAGGGGGAAGAGAGAGAAGAAAGAGAGAGGAAGGATGAGAGGAAGAGATTTTGACAAAAACAAGAGAGAGAAGACAGCTGAACAAAATGGGACCCACAAAAGTAGAAAGTAACAAATGTTTGGGAGAATTAACATTTTATAATGCCAATAACTTTTTTATATATATTATAATAGGTAAATTTGTCTTTTTACTCTATTTGATAATATAAAAAAATTTTGTGTGATTTAACTTTTAATTTATCTGTTTGATTTATGTAGTTTTATATTTTGTATTGCATTTCAATGTTTAAGAATTTTAGGAAAGTATTTAATTAACATTGAATTAAAGTTTGATTTCTGCGGTTCTATTTTGTGTTTAAATTCAATAGTTTGTGTATTTTATTATAGTTGGCGTACGAGTTTAACTTGTCAGAAAAAGAAAAGTTCTACTTAGAAAAAAGTATGTTTTAGATTTTTTATCTTCATGGATCATTTCATTTTAAAGTTTTAATTTGATAAAATAATTTTTCAATTCTTTAACCCTAATACTGCTAGTTTTATTTAAAAAATACTGACATTGAGATATTAAATATTTAAAAACAAACATTAACGAATATTGAAAATTATGTTTAATTATTCAAATTAATAATATTTAGAAAAACATGTAGATATAGACGACGAATATAATTCTTTATTAAATTATGGATCAAAGATGTGTCCCATGTACTATTTCTGCTCGTTAGTATAAACGACAGATAATTAATTTATGAAGTTAATTTAGTTATATATAATAAATATAGACTTTATTAAACTATCCTATTAAGATCGTATATCTAAAATCACTGCTAAAAAAAAATCTTATATTTAGAATCAAATTCAATCTTTAAATTAATTCTTATTAAAACTTGAAGTAGTATATATTTTACTTTGCTCATAAGTCTCACGTTTATGGGTCTTAATTTTTCTGGAAAATCTTTTAAGGAAATGTGTGAGCCTCTTGAAGCCACACAACAACAATTCTGACCGCAAATTTAAGCGGTGATGAAGGTGAAATTCAAACACACAATTATAGCTTTGGGGCCTACAAGTTTTGTTTTTATTCTGTACCAAAATTTAAAAATTGCTTTAAGAAATTTCTACGGAGCTTCTGCCTTCAAAAGTTAAAAACAACCCAGAGTGGTGGAAATTACTCATACTCATCATTAAAACGAGAAATGGGGTCTATAAAAAAATTGCAAAATGAGAATTTTAGGTTAGATTGGATTGGATATTAATTTTTTAAGAACTTTTAATCTGGTACGAGTAAATTCTACTGTTTAAAATGTTGATAATAAACTCTGACTTTTAAAATTAGTGGGATATATATAATGCTAAATTGTTTTTACTTGACTTCATATTTCAGATAATTTTATGGACGTAATATATAATTTAAGAAAATTAATTTGGAAAATATAATAGAAAATTTGTTTTTAGGACATAAACTTCATGGAAAAATCTAAATGTTTAAGATCTTATCTTTTGTGAAAGTATTTATTGGTGAGAATCTTAATTTTTTTTGCCAACGGTGAGAATTTTAATGGCGTTCTTGTATTCATACAAGGATTTATGACTTTATTTATGTACGACCTAATACTTAATAAAATTTTGTATAATTTAGTCTTAACTTCCTACCAAAAGAATAAAATGAAAACTACTCATCAAAAAAAAAAAGAATAAAATGAAAACTTATCACTCATCGTCCCCCGTGTCCCACGGCCCTTAATCACTTGCTTTGTTTCTTTTCAATAAAATTAAAAAAAGTTATCTTTATTTGTAATTTAAATTTATACATTTTATTCGGCAACAACATGTTGTGATTGTTGTCCCTTACATACTTTTATCCTTTTGTTTTATTACTAAAATATAAGTACCCCTTTTATTGGGGATAGTTTTATTTAAGGCACTATTGAGCACTAAATATAAGCATATTTTCAACTAATTTAATTGAAGACTTTGGGCCAACAAAATTAATTAAATTATTTTTGCCGAACAAATTAATTTAATTGAACAAATGTGTGTTGGATGGACGTCTTTTGTACTTGTAAAATTTTAGTTCACGCATGCTATGCTCATTTCTAACAAAATTTGAAATTTCAAAATAAATGAATTATATTAAAGACACAACACAATACAAGTCTTTGTTTTGGTTTTTGTTTCACTTATCATAATTTCTAGACACATCTGATCTAAATAATATAGTAAATTTTGAAGTCTTTTATAATAGGAAAAATGATACAAAAAGAATTTGAAAATTTGTAAATATTAAATAAGAAATGTCAACAAAAGTTTCTTATTATTTGTAAATTCAGTGTTGTAAATACCAAATAAAGTGATGTTACCAAACCTGATTTGGGATTTAGTAATTTTCAGCTTCCTTTTTGTCATTCTTCCTTTATAATACTACCTCCGGCCTTTAATATAAGAGCAAGTTGACTAATTTAAGTACATTAAAAAAATTGATTAAGTTAGTTATGGTAATAAATAGATGTTGTCTTTCTTAAAATACCTTTACTAATCAAATATATTAGTTAATACTACCATTTGATGAAACTTTCAACATATACAACTACTACAGGGACTACCTTTAAAAAAAAGATAAATATAAAAGATAAAGTGCATTGAGGCCGGTTTTATATTTAGGATTAAATTGAAAATCAAACTAACTCTTATAGTAAAGAATAGAAGTATTAATATATAACAAAATTATGTGATAGAAATAGTTTACTAATGTAATTTAGGAGTGATTAGTTATGAATAACTTAAAATTAATTAATAATTAATGGATAATAATCTGAATATTTCCGTGCAGACAAACCCCTTGTACCTTTATGACATTGCTGGCAAGTTGTTGGCCACAATACCTAAACTATTAAGATGATTCTTGTAAAGCAAGAAATTAATAAACTTGTTTTTTTGCCTTCCAAGCTAGGAAATAACACAAGAAATGATCAACCACCTATCCCCTACCTAATTTTGTTTATATAATTTGTTGGCTGCAAGTTTATGTTCTAGACTTCTAGTATAAAAAACATGTAACTATAATATTCCTAGTCTAATGTCAGCGTATATACTAAACTTCATTGCAATATATACCGAAATTCGTTCCAACATATTTTTTCATGCTTGGAAAATCATCACCCTAGTTAAATGATGATGATAAATCTTACTTTTCACTAAAAAGTCTTGATGACTTTTGCTTTTGGCATATGTCCTTTTTGAAAAACAAAACAACCAGAATCATTAGCATATCATTTTCACATAACAGCTGAGAATCTTGAAACATATTGGGTGCTCCCCAAATCTAAACCATCTAGAACAAAACTGAAGGGTCCAGATTTAATATAAGTTCATTTTATATTTTAATTTATACATATCTAAAATAAATATCTTAATTAACTATCACTTTTCAAAAGATAATCTTTTACTTAAAAACCATGAATTAAAAATTCTAAATCAAAATTGTCAAAGTTATATATTTGCATAGTGGATATTTTATCATAGTGATGAGCATTAAGATGCTAGTCACTAGGGTATATAGTTTCATTCTTTTTTTATAACATATATAGTTTCATTCTTGTTTCTTACATATGCGACTCACACCAATTTATGAATTTTAGCAACCTAGTAAAATTTGATAATTATAAACCACGCAGGTATTTCTTTCATGTTTAGCAGCCGGGTGCAGTATCTGCTGGTTCAACACAGTGTGCTATGTCATTTGCATAAAAAATTTCACATCAAGTATTCCTCTTGCATTATCTCTAAGCATCAGCTTCAATGGTGTAACTGCAGCATTATACACTTTCCTTGTCAACTCAGTAAATTCCAGCGATGACGCTCTCTACCTCTTGCTTAACGCACTCATTCCTCTACTAATTTCAAGCGTCACACTAATCCCGATCACGATTCTCTATCAGCCGGCACGTCCCCTTCCATCATCCGACTCCATTCACCACCGCGACTTCCCCGTCTTCATCGGCCTCTACATCCTTTCTCTCATCACAGGCCTCTATCTCCTTATCCTTGATGATATTTCCACTAGCACGACTTGGGCACGTATTACCCTTGTAGGTGCTATTTTTCTGCTAGTGCTTCCATTGTTCATGCCTAGGATTGTGTATGCCAGAGATCAATGGACTTGTCTGCGAAACTTGAGTTTGGATGTGACTAAACCGGATGATGGTGATTATGATAATGATGAGCTTAATAAAGGGCTGATTGGTAGTGGTGATAATGATGATGGTGATGAGGAAAGTACAGGAAATGGGAGTGTTGGTGTGACTTTCACAAGGAAGAAGAAGTGTGGTTTTGTTAAGGAGATGATGGAGAGAGACAAGATGAGAGTCATTTGTGAAGAACATTCAGCGAGGCTCTTGTTGAGAAGGTGGGACTTTTGGTTGTACTATGTAGCATATTTGTGTGGAGGTACGACTGGATTGGTTTACTGTAACAACTTGGGGCAAATTACGAAGTCATTGGGATTCAGTTCGGAGACTAGTTCTGTGATTTCGTTATATTCCATTTGTTCTTTCTTTGGTCGTCTTCTTGCTGCTGGCCCTGACTTCCTGAGCAAGTATGTGACTCGAAAAGCATATTCTTTCTCTCAAATCATTTTCATGTTCTTTACAAATTACTCAACTTTCAATTGGATCGTCCACTAAAATGTTCTTTTGATCCTGTATATACAGTGGTTTTATTATTCTTTCAACTGGGCAATTCATTCAGTTGAAAGAGATAGACATAGTAATGGAAAATATCCAATGACCTCTCTAGATGAACAAAAAATAGGCTCTTTTTTCCTCTTGTGTATAAGAAATCTTGTTTAAAAAATGATTGAGTATTAAATGTAGACACCTCTTGTTGTGGGAATTCTAGAATTTGAATCTTAATTTATCATGCTATGAGAGACCAACTTCTTTCATTAGACCCAGCACTTGTCAGTGAAAATAGGCCAACTTTGTGTTCATCAAAAGATGTTAATACTAAACCACAAACTTAGAGATCAATTATCTTAGTAATGATTCCCATTTGAGAACTTGAATTCACAAGTATAAATTTCTCCCGCTTTTTAACTCTATGCCTGGAATGCATTGTTGAAGAGAAGTCTAGCTAACTTATTTTACCTTGATCTAAAAGTAAGCATAATTAAATCTTTTGACTTTACTCATTGATCACTTAAGTGGGATAAAACATCAATTTTATAGTCAATTTGGTTTTAAATTTTATGTAGGAATGTGATTAAAATATATGTTAGCCTAGTTAACTTTTAATTAATAATGCAGCTGGAACATACACTTTGCAAGGACAGGATGGTACACAATTGGCATGGTTCCAACACCAATTGCATTCACATTGCTTGCAGCATCTGGAAGTGAAGCGTCTCTGAGAATAAGCACTGGCATGTTAGGATTAAGTTCTGGCTTCCTCTTCTCTGAAGCAGTGTCCATTACTTCTGAGTTGTTTGGTCCAAACAGTGCTCCTGTGAATCACAACATCCTCATCACCAACATACCCATAGGTTCATGTCTTTTTGGCCTTATTGCCGCTTTGGTTTATGACTCCAACGCCGAGTCCTCGACGCGCATAAGCTGGATGCTTAGTATGTCTATGTGCACAGGAAGGAAGTGTTACTTCCAAACTTTCATATGGTGGGGCTGTATTTCCATGGCAGGTTTGGTTTCAAGCTTGCTGCTTTTCGTGCGAACTAGGATAGCTTATGACAATTTTGAAAGAAACAGAAAGAGAAATACAACACAAACTGATTAGTTTTAGAATGTAGGATAGGACATCTTGTTTTGTACTGTGTCCACAAATACGATATAAAGGAATGTTGAAAGTCTCATGATGAGGTCTTTGAATGCATGTATAATGACATGTAAAAACATTGTCATTTGCATTTAATTAGATAAATATTAGGCTTGGAAAATTATTAGGCCTGATACAGAAAGTTTCAGGGTGGATTGGTCGAAAGAAACCACGTACTGGTCCACTTTCGCTTGATGGATAAACCCAAGCTCATTATAAGCAGGACACAAATAAACAAGGGTGGAACAGTTACACAGGTCAAAATTAAGTGTATCGGGGTTAAAAGTACAGGACAGCGAATGAAAACTAAAAATTGAGATAAAATAGTTCTCTCCACACCCAGACTCTATTTCTTTCATCAGAGTTATTTGCTGTGAGATCGAAAATAGAATTCGAGTGATTCTACTTATTTGCGTGGGTTTAAGATCAGAGAGCAAAAATTTGAATATGATTTCTGTATCAACACGTACTTTATATATGTTACGTTCAATTGAGTCTTAAACATGTTATAGGAAGAAATCTTTTCAAACATCCTGCCATTAGAGTCCAGGTACATGTTCAAGATTCATCGGTTTCAAAAATCATGAATCAGAGTTAAACTAATAATAATTTTCATATCACGACATGCTTTAATCATAAAGATCACATTGGTATATAATTGAATCTCAAAAAACGGGTGTAAAAAATTAACATCTTCTGCCTATTCTGGCAAACACATTTTTGAGATTCTAAAAAGTTTCCCTTCTTGTATGTGTGACACCTCTGTTAATGTATGGAATGAGTTACATATATAACGTATTTTCAAGGTATTTTTTAGCAATTTTCCCGGACATAATCTCCCACAATTTTCCCGAACATAATCTCCTACAAATTAGAACCCACGACAATATTGGTATTGATTTTGACAACAATTGATAAACAAATAACAATTTTTGTGAACGGCTCCCTATATACAATTTTTCAATTTTCAAGGTCTTCTTTTATGATTTTTTTTCATTATGTTTTGCAATGTCCACAAAACACATTTAGAATCAATCATAGCTTTTTTTTGTCCGCTTCGCAGAATCAAGTATAATTCGTAACATTCCGAATTTTCAGGCTTTAAAAGAACAGGAAAAAGTAATTACTAAAATTATTTAATATCTAAAGAAATTAAAAAATTATAGAATATTAATTTTGAGTATTTAGGAAGCTCATGGAAAAGTTTAGTTCCCCAAAAATAACTTAAATAATTTTAGAATTAATTTCTGTAGTTAAAAGGGGCCGATTTTCCTGAAAATCCAAAAAAGATAGCTAGAGATTAATTTTTTTTAGCTGATATTTTTATGATAATTATTATATAAGATGAAGAAGCTAATTAAGGCAGAAAATCCTTATAATGTATTAAGAATTAATTTATGGGATTTAGGCTTATTTTCTTTGAAAATTCAAGAAAAATAGTGAGGAGTCAATTTTTGACCTGAAATTTTTAAAAAATTATTTTATGGGCTAAAAAAGCTAATAGAAAAGGAAAATCCATATAAAATACTGTGTATTGATTTCTAGGTTTATTTAATAATTTCAGAAAATGGATGAAGGGGTGAAGTTGGAAACAAGAAAATATAGAAGGGCAAAATGGTCCAGAAATTTTGACAAACACACCACAGGTGCTGTTCTCTCATTTAACCATCTGATCGCCTCTTCTCTCTTCATTTTTCACCTGCAACTCGGAGAGAAGTGAGAAATAGAGAGAGAGAGAGAGTGTTGTTGAGATTGAAAGGAGGAGGAGGTGAACGGTGAGGGCTGTTGGGCAGGCAAACGGTGATTCCCACTAAGGTAAGCCTCCTAATCCATCTTCTACCTTCTGTTTCGCTGGTTGTGCAAAGTTTTGGAAGTTTTGGGTTTCTAAAATTTCAGGGGAAGTGAAAAAATTAATGATCAAGTTAAGACTAACGCAGCCATTGGCGGAGTAAACCTTGTTAAAGTGAATTATGGTTTTGCATGTAACTTATCCCTTCTGCATGTTGCTTGTTGCTCTGGCTTTTGCTGTCCTAAACAGGGAAGCTCTTTGCTTGATGTTGGCGTCATGTTTCGGGGGAAATTGAAGAGAAATGATGCAATATATACGTATATATATGGGACTGCACAAAGTTTGCTCCTCCTCCCAGTGATTTTGTCATTATTTTGGGAGTATGTTGGAATCCGGAGAATTCCAGATTTTGCTAGAGGTGGCGTGTTGTGTATAGGAGAGTGAAGATTGAGAACAATATAAATTATATATATATGTATATATATTTATATTGTGCGTGTGCGTGTCGCTTGAAGGAGGTGAGTTTGGTTGTGAATACTGAATTTTATGTCAGCAAGGAGAGGTGGCTGTTTGGAAGCTTTGAAGAAGAGAGGATTAAATGTGTTGAGAAAAATTATGGTGTAAAGTTATTTCGGTAAAGGGAGGAAAAGAAACAGTATATATGTACATGCTGTAAAATAATTAAGAATTAAGAGGAAATGATTTTAGGAAAAATTATCCACCGGTCCAAAGAGTAGACTTTATTCTTGTAAGGACCACAAATGTCAAAATTCAACTAGTAGTAGGTCCACAAGATCTTAGAATATTATATTCTAATTATAAAATGACATCACTCATTCCCTTAAATTTGTAATTCATGTTTTTTCTGCCAGACAAAACTGTTGACAACCTAGCAGTATCTATTGACAACTTGCTTGTATATGATTACATAACCTCTATATAAGAGAAAATTATAAACTAAATATATTAAGCAAACCACTTTATCACTGAAATGAAAGCTTTTCAAAGGTATTAAATAATTTAACTAACCAACAAGCGTTTAGGTGCAGTGGTAAAGGCACCTGAGCACACCCCAGGCGGACGAGAGTTCGAACCTGGAGCCGCGCTTGTTGGGAGGGGTTTACCGCCTTTGGTGCAAAGCACCTTACATGGGCGTGCCTTAAACACATAACCCGCTCCGGATTAGTCAGTTGCCCCGGGTTACCTGGTCCAGTTTAGAAGGCCAGGGACTCAGGAAAAGGCGCTGGATACCGGGGG